TGATACACACGGTAATAACAATTAGTATAAGGTCTCCTTTTTTTTCTAAACTAAATATATAAGTATATATTCACAAATTACCTGATATTTACTAGGTTAGATACCAAGCATAGTTCTTTAAATATTTAGATAAGTACTAAGTGTAAAAATCTTTACATATTACTTTTCAAATTAGGTACCAAATATACCTCATACATGAGCCCTATCGGAACTGTTAAGGGCTGTGCTAGTTCAATGTGAACAAATTTTGAGATGGATCTATCAACCTAATTCAAAACCAAAACTATCTAGAGAAAATCCAAGGAACTCATGGATCAAAGTATGTTGGCCCAATCTAAAATCCTAGTGGATGGGCCCATGAGGCCGAATCTAAATTTTTTGGGTTATTGGGGCTATGGAGTCCAATCCAGGAACTTTGTGAGCCTACTAGCCCAATTAAAATTTTGAACAGGCCAGCGGCCCCAAAAGGCAGTCGTCCTTTTTTTTTTTTTTTCTCTTGCATGTGGTTGGGATGCAAGGAGATACTGGAGTTTTAATTATTAATGGAGGTCTATGATATTGGATCAAGATCATGCACACGGGCTGTAAATATTTATATAAATCAAGCCTGCAAAGGAACCAGCAAACCAAATGGTTCACCACCAAACTTAAAAGTTTTAGGTTCAATTAGTTGGAGTTCTATTCCTTTCAATTAGTTGTAAACTTACCCCATTCTTCTAAATTCCCCATGTTCAAAGAAAAAGAAAAATTCAAGCATGCAAAGGCTCTCAGGATTCTTGCTGCAACCCCAACAAATGACATGGAGATCCCTGCAACTTCAACCCCAAGCTCAAATAATTATATGAGGTTGCATCAAACTCGTGCCATCGGTATACCATGTCTCCTGAATTGAAAGTCCAGACGCTCATAAGTTTGATATTGGGAATCTTAATGTCTGAGAGACAAGTTAGCAGCTGGATCCATGCAAAAATATTCTATGTTGCTCTCTATTATATGAAAACAGCGCATGAAAGCGCGCTGATCCTTCGAATAATTTGATTCCTTAGGCCTCATTTTGCCTTGCATATAAGCTGGTGCTTAATGGGCAATGACCATAACATACAACTTCAGCTTGAGTTAGGAGAAAAAAAAAAAAAAGAAAAGTTATCCTCTGTTAAGAAAACAATGGAGGTTCCAAATGGAAGATGTATTAGATGGATCTCTGAGATTGTTGGACATATGCAGCACAGCTAGGGATGTTTTCTCCCAGTTCAAAGGTTGTGTCCTGGATATTGAGTCATCCCTCAGAAGAAAAAATGGTACTGAATCCAGCATAGCCAATGAGATTAAGAAGTACTTCATCCTAACAAAGCAATTAAACAGAATTTCCAAGAAATTCTTTGGAAACACCAAGAGTATGCAACAAAATGATCTTGGAGACATGTCTGGCATGCCAAGAGAAGTTGAAGCAATTAGTCTTACCATTTTCGAGTCCATGTATTCATTAATATGCCCCAGAATTCAAAGACAAAGGGATGGTCTTTGGTCTCAAAGATGATCCAACCCAGGAGGGTCTGTTTTGTGGACAAAATAGATGATGTCTTGACTGATCTGATCATCTAGAACAAGTCAAGCAAAGGCATGGGTGTCATTCAAGTGCAAAAGGCACTACAAGGTTTGGAGACATTGGAATCAACCGTGCAAGAAATTGTGGAGGGACTGGAGAGTGTCTTTAGATGTTTGATTATAACCAATGTTTCCCTTCTCAACATTCTTAACAATTAGACTATGAACCTATTTTGACTCAATGTTCTCCAATGACATCCCTGATGTTTACAAGGGGCTTGTCAACGACTTTGCTGTCAAATTCTGTACAATTCATACAAATCCATAGATGAAATTCAAATCTCCAATATCTCATATTGTTTTCTTTTACATAAATATAATATAGTTACTCCACATATTGTCAATTAGTGACTCATAATGATGTGAATAACTTGCAGACTTAAGAAAATGAAGAGACACCTAAAGGTTGCGGGTAATGCATATCAGTTTTCTCCGGATCTTGCCTGCCTTTAAGCTAACAGATAAATCAAATAGAATACAATGAAAACAATTATATGGCACTAATAATTAGATTCCTGTAACAGATTCATAATCTGGTGAAATGACTCATGAGACAATATGAAAGTGAATGATAATGTAAAAGTTTCAAATTAACTCCCAAGCTGTCAGCATGTTTCCTCCTTCGTTGTTGCTATCAAATAAATGTTTCCATTAGCTTCTGCATTGCATTACTGATGTATATTTCTCCAGATATGGTTCTTGTTCCTGTCCGGAGAGCATTAAGGCAAGCTAACCTTGTGCAATCCAATTGTTTGTCATAATTATGATTAGCAGATTTTACCTTACAAAAATGAAAATAATATAATTACACTAGGATTTTTCTAACATGTGGTATAAGACATAAGTTAAGAATGTAATTAATACGTCTTTTAACCATTAATTCATATTGAAAAACCAAAAAAATTGATATTAATTTTAGTATCAGTATCACATATCTTAATTTCATTAGTTGTTAAAATTAAAGTCAAATTTTATTTTTTCAATGTAATTTAATGGCCAAAAAATGTATTAACTGGTTTTTTAATATGTGCTCTTAGGACATAAGTTTAAAAAATCCATTACAATATTACGTGATTTTGTAAACTTACAATTACCACTTATGACTAATATACTTAGCTCCTTTTTCTCTTTTTTTGTGAGAAATGACTTATTTATACATAAGTCTTATATATTACATTTATATAAAATATTAACGATTCATTTCTTAACTTTCAATTGTTAAAATTTATTATGATTTTTTGAATAAAAAATAATTATTTTTAATAAATATGAATAATTCTCAATTATTAAAAATAGAGGAATAAATAGTTGAAATGTTATATAAATGTGATATGTAAAATTTATATATAAGTGGATCTTAGTCTATTTTTTTTATTTATAAATTTACTTATAATATTATATATACATACTCATTTAACAATATATTATAATTATAAATTTACAATTATACATTTTTACATTACATTATTATAACCATGTGTTGTCATATAAAAACTACACGTTACATCTAATTGTGAAATAAGATGGTGTTTCTATGGGTCCAGTGCCAAAATAAGAGTACAGTGTTGGCTACCTCAGCATAGGCGTCCTCATCAATAATGTGGGGGCCAGGAAGACCCAAAAACAACAAGTTGCATGTAAATTGGACCCATTTGAAAGTTACAACAAGGCTGGACCACTGGGCCAATAAGCAGAAAGTTCCAAAAGTCCAAACCCACCGCCCCAGCTGTAATAATGTAAGAAGACCCAGACCTTTTCTTTTCTTTTCTTTTCTTTCTTCCATTTTTTTTTTTTTTATAAGAGAGAAAATTTTATGGCAATAGTTTGAGGTATGGTTATTATCATCACAAAAAATATTAAAATTATTTATTATTTATTTTTTAATTAACGTTTGAAAATATTGATTTATTAATTAAATTATATTATATTAATATTTTTAAAAATAATATTTTATAATTTTTATTGATCTTAACGCTTTAAACGATAGCCACAACCCTGACCAATGGTTAGATGGGACAGTCTCTGCTGATATTCCCTTTGTAAACAGCATTTGAAGCATCTTTTTCTTTACATTGCTACCCATATATCCATGTAGTGGCCATTTATTGTTTAGCCACAATCCAAATGTATTCATAAGGTGGGGTTTAGATTCAATCATGACTGTCCTACATTAGCTAGCTCCTCCAATGAATCCCCCAGAACGTCCGTACAATTTCTCACCCCCAAACAAAAATTTTATTGTTGTGTCTTTGCGTCTGCATTCTGCTTTAATCATGCACATATATTAATTAAAACCGTGCAAGTGAAGGTACTACTTTTGAATTCAAAATGATGACCTAATTAAAGCCTCATTTGGTGTTTGGTGGGAATAAAAACATTAATTTGTGGCTAAGGTTAGCATTTATCTAGATCTTCCACTTTGCACACCAAGTACTGGAGGCAAGATAAAGTCAAAAGAAAGTAGCAATATAGATGCAACTTGCGTCGGAGACTATGAAACCCCCCATGTTCCAACAAGTGTCAATTTTTTTTTTCCTTTTGACAAAACAAAAGTGTCAACAAAAGATAAAACCATCAACATTTGATCATATAGAAAACTAAAAGTAGCATCATTTAAATAGTTAAAATTTATATGGAATTAGTCCCTCTAGAATTTGATATTAGTTAGTCGTCTTAATTTTACCTTTTGCATATAATTTCACTTATGTTATATAGCAAGTGAATAATAATTGAAGAAAAAAGTTAGAATGAGTAAGAAAGTTGCATGAATTTTGCTGAATTTGTACTATTTACACGGTACAAGTTACAACATATCCATTTATTACATATGGACCATTACAGCAATGAAAACGGCTAAAGGGTACATATATGATTCCGGTTCTGAGGTAGGGAGGGAGGTGGGACAGTACTAGAGCAGGAAAGGAAAGGGAAAGAAAAAAAAAAGGGCTGCTAGTCTTGTTTTTTCCTATGTGTTATTTTCCTACATACAAGGATATATCTTTTGACAACTGGTCATACCATTTCCCCCACAAAGAGTTAACAGCCCTTTGCTAGTTTACCATAGAAGCATACTATCATTTTGTTGAGAAAATCATGCTAAAAAAGAACTTTTATAAGCGTGTTAATTGATAAAAGTTTGAGATTTCAATTAATTTAAAATTTCAAGTAAGAAATCTCAAATTTAAATGTTAAAACAACCAGAGAGAGATTTGAGAAAGGAGAGGGTTATTACATGTTATATGATCCAACATCATTTGTACCAAAAAGGAAGAATGTTCAAAAGCCTTAAATTCCTTCTCCTTTCCTCTATCTACTTAACGAGCAATCTCAGTTTGCAAAGATGTGTGGAATTCCAATTGTTCAGCCTCCCACATCAACTTAGCAACAACTTCATCATGCATAGGCTCATATTCCTATTTGAAACGCAATCAATTCATTACTCAAAAGGAAAGAAAAATGGTATATATGATGGAATGGAGAGATATGAAAATGAAATTAACCTCAAGTTTCTGGACAAGTTCTTTTGCAGTTGGAGCAGAGACAACTATGCTACGCTGGGAGGGCGTGATGAAGCCATCATCCACGGCTTTGTCCAAGAAGTTGAGAAGATAATTGTAGTACCCATTTACATTAATCAAACCAACCTGCATGTTGTCACCACATTAAAAAAAGGTACTAAAATTAGGTAGAGTTTGAGAAGCAAAGGATGTTTGAAGCTGCTTTACAGGCTTGTCATGGATTCCAAGCTGGGCCCATGTTATGACCTCTAATAACTCCTCAAGAGTTCCATATCCACCTGATTAATAAAAAAATCAACAAATATATATAAAAATATAGCCGCCTGCAGCTCATTTGGTTAAAGTCAATGAATTCAGACGCTGAAAAAAAACATAAACATATATATGTTATTCATCAAATTTGAGATAAAGGAGAGACCTGGTAAGGCAATGAAACAGTCAGAATGGCGGGCCATCTCTGCTTTCCTTTGGTGCATATCAGCTACTGGTTTGACCTCTCCTACTGTTTCCCCTGTTATCTGCTCGGTAAAAGCAGAGCAAATATGTTGTTCAAGAAGATAGAAAAGAACTGGTAATCAAGGAAAAAGAAAAGAAACCCAGAAGGGATTGTGTGGACCTCTTTCTTCATAAGAGTTCTAGGGATAATTCTGTGAGGCAAAAAAACAAACACAACAAGAAAACAAAATGAATGAAAATAGTGACTAAACAAGAAGAACCCCAATTTATTTACATGGAAATGTTACAGAAATCTTCCAACAGACTGTTCCTACTGACTCACCCTAAGACATGCCCACCACCGCGATGAACCTCCTGAGAAACCAAACCCATTAACCCAACACTTCCTCCTCCATAAACAAGATCCATCCTCCTTGACACCTTAAGGAAGAAAAACCCAGAAAACAAGAAGAAAAACGTGAATTAGCAAAAAGAAATGAAGAGAGCAGAATCGAAGCTGGGGGGGGTTTGAGGGGACTAGGCTAGGCTACCAATTCCCGGCCAAGCTCGAGCGCTGCATCACCATAACAAGTTCTTTTGCCGGCGCTGCTTCCGCAGAAGACACAAACCCTTTTGAACCTGGACTTGGCGTCAATATTATTCTCCTCCATTAACTCTCTGGAATGTGTTTGATCTGATTAATATATTTTTTTAAGGTATTTTCAAAGATTCTTAAAAGCAGAGAAGACCCAATAGAAAAAAAGGGAAAGAACAGAGAGAAAAGTGTTACCATTTATAGGATCCCGAGGTCGCGGGGTAGATAATTAGCTTAGCTCGCGCATTGAATCCTGTTTGGACACGTGTTCAAAACTCTGGAATTTTGCTTTATTAAATTCGCCGACAGGATTCGTTTCGCTGCCCCGCAGACCACTAATTTCCTCAATTCCCACCACCAGGTTTAGTGAGTCACGGTTTGGGTTGATTATTAATAATTAATAGTTTTATCCAATTTCATTTAATAAATAAAATTATTTAAATCCTTAATAATTATAATTATCAATCATTAATCTTTTTTATATTTATTTTTATAATTATAAAACTCATACTTAAAATTTTATTTAAAAAGTTTCGAAATCATTCCATTTAACTTAACAAATCGTTTATTCGTTAGATTAAATGAAATGATTAATTATTTATTTTAAAGTATTTATATATATAATAATAGGTTATTTAAAAGGGGGCAAATCTTTCTTTTTTTAAATTTTTTTTGTTTTAAGTCAAAGTTCAAAGTTCAAATTTTAAATTTTAAATTTTAAAATTTTAATTATTCGATCACTCCTTTAGAAGTATTTCAAAACATTATATCAAACAGTATTTCAAACCCATTTGATTTTTTAGTTTGGTTACTAAAATTTTTGGTTTTTTTTTTCCCCTTTTTTGTAGAAGAAATTTTTGGTGTTAATGTTTAGGTTTCGGTATTGGCTACTAGGTTTATCTTAATAAAATTTGTTAGATTACAATTTA